AAATATATGTTAAAGAATGAGACAATCAATGTGTAAATTGACTTTGAAAAAGAGACAAAAAATTTTGTTTAATCCTTTTGCTGTGAAAGTAGTAGCACTTTGTAAATCCATAAAGCTACCTCTATTTCGTCAGATAATCACTCACAATTCACTGCTCCTCTTGAAGAAAGGAAGTACGGCTTTCTAACCAGCTTTAAGAAGGTACTTCAAAAAGTTCGTGGAAAAATATAATTAAAGATAATATGAATATTTCTACAAAATTTTTGAAAGTACCCACATAATTTCCTCAAGACAACTCACTAAACCTGGAAATATAATATATTATCATATCAATATAGAGAATTAAGTGAATGATGAAAACGAGTAGACACTTAAATGGAACTCACCGGTGTTAGAGTCTCAGGATGGGAGGTCAACTCACTGGAATTACAAAGTGGAAACATGGCCCCAGAAGCATCACCACANACCAGGTAGCCGGGCTCCGCCGCGCGCGGCACCGTGTCGAAGAGCGCCGAGCCGTCGGGCCCCAGCGCCGGGTACAGCACCCGCGGCGCGTTGTCGTTGCGGTCGCCCACCAACACGCGCAGGCTCACGTTGGCGCTGAGCGCGGGCGAGCCCTGGTCGCGGGCCTGCAGCGTCAGCTCGAAGGCGCGCAGCTGCTCGTGGTCGAAGGCGCGCTGCGCGAACACCACCCCGCTCTGTGCGCTCACGGACACGTAGGACGACAGCACCCGCGGCTCCAGGTCACTGGCCACGATTGCGTAGGAGACGTGGCCGTTGGGACACAGGTCTGGGTCGGAAGCGCTCACTTGCGCTATGGAGGCTCCAGGCGGGTTGTTCTCGGCAACGTGGACCAAGTAGGACGCCTGGTGGAAAATCGGAGCGTTATCGTTTACATCACCAACGTGCAGAGTGACGCTTGAGCTGGAAGAGAGGGGAGGCTTGCCTAGGTCGGTGGCTGTGATGGTGACATTGTACTCCGGGTTCTGCTCGCGGTCTAGAACTCCATCTGTCACTAATTTATACGTGTTTCTTGAAGAAGTGAGTATTTTAAACGGAACATCACCTTCCAATTTACAAGTAACTTCTCCATTGTGTCCAGAATCTTTGTCCCGGATTTTGAACAAAGCAATGTGTGTTCCCAGTTCAATGTCCTCCATAATTAGGTCAGGTAGAGACTGGAATATCACTTCTGGGACGTTGTCATTTTCATCTAGGACTTCTATCTCCACTGTGCATTGTGCAATCATTCCTCCACCATCCCTTGCTTCTAAAACTATGGAATATTGTTTGATTTCTTCAAAATCTAACGAATTTAGAATGGTAATTTCCCCAGTATTAGAATTTAGGTCAAACTGGGGGATCTGGCTAGCTTCACTGAAAGAGAAGCTGATCTCAGCATTGATGCCCTCATCCTGGTCAGTGGCTGTTACCTGAAGCACGGTGGTGCCCGGGTACACGCTTTCCAGAAGGCTTACCCTGTATATGTCTTGGCTGAACACTGGAGGGTTATCATTGGCATCAGTCACTACGACCTGTATCTTTGCAATGCTGGTTAGGGGTGGATCGCCAAAGTCCAAAGCAGTCAAGGTCAAGTGGTAGGTTTTCTGTTTTTCTCGGTCTAAAGGTGTCTTCAATACCAGCTCAGGGTATTTACTGCCATCCGATTTCTCTTTATTCACGAGTGAGAAATGATCGTTGGGACTGAGCTGATAATTCTGTAGTGAGTTGGTACCAACATCTGCATCATGGGCAGATCCTAAGATAAATCGTGCCCCAGGCTTTGTGGACTCGCTTATTTGCAGTTCAAAGGAATTTTGGGTGAATTTTGGCGTGTGGTCATTAACGTCCTCTATCTCCACATTCACGTGATAGAAGTTCAGTGGATTTTCAGCAACAACCTCAAATTCCAGAGCACAAGCTGGATTCTTCCCGCATATCTGCTCCCTGTCTAGCCTGCCGCTCACGAGCAACTCCCCGCTCTCTGCGCTCACAGTGAAGTAAGGCTTCTCCGAACTGATGCGCAGCTTTCGAGTCGGTAACTCCTGGACACTGAACCCCAGGTCCTTGGCGAGGTTCCCCACTGCCGAGCCCTTGGGCATTTCCTCGGGAATCCTGTAGCGGATCTGCTCAGAGAGCGCCAGGCCGAACAAAGACAGCAGGAAGGGAAAGAGCACTGGCCGCCTGGCAGTCCGGCCCTTCTCCCCAGCGCCGCTCCCCATCCCTCTTGTTCCCCTCAGTTTGCTCACCGGCCTGGAGACGCGGATTACAAAGAATCTCTGTATTGCAGATATTCGGAGCTCCGGACGGAGTTCGGAGTGGAGGTCCGGGATTATTCTTTTCGCGAGGAGGTAGCGGTGTAAGGGCTCGCGCCGGAGAGTCGGAGACGCGGCTGCCCTGGAAAGCGCGCTGCGGCTGCGCGAGAAGATCGCGAGCGTCAAGCTCTCCACTTTGGCCAACAGCGGCGCCCAGAGTCCACACTCGGAAACTGCAGCCTCTGCTGCTTCAGTTTTACCAGTAGAGTTGTTACAATTGTATGTCTAACTGCACGAGACATGTTTTCATATTTATACATTAAATATCAAAATTTAAAGCCCCGTTCCGGTATATTTTCACTTGTTTCCAAATTGTTAGAAATATCATGTTGGGCTTTTACACAAACCTACATGTATCGGTCCATTCTTTCACCATTCTGCAAATATACATTAAACTCTTACCTACTATTGCCCTTGCCAGTGCTAATATACTAATAAGACACAGTTCTTGCCCCGAGAGAGTTCATAGTCTATTGATATCACATATTCATTTTTTTTATTATTTATGATATTTTGAAACACTTTTTATCCTTCTTTCATTGATTTTTATGACCCCTCCCACCAACATTTCCAGGTAACTAATGCTGTTTGATATCACATTTATTATGGGACATCAACACTGTTCGAAATTATTTTGTAAAGCTGTGCAATTTTATACCAATTCCCTAACATCTCCTCTTCCTGGTAATACTGACTCTCTTTGTAAAAATAATTTCTCTTTGCCTTTTTGACTACTTGAAGAAGTATTCATTCAAGAAAACTGTCCCTGGACTGTAGCCAAGAGATAATATACCCTACCAAATGCCTTCTTTTTCACATCTCAAAATTGTTTTGGCTTATGTCATACCCTTTTATAATACAAAATTCATTATTAAAAGTTACTGGGGAAATGCTTATCTATTCTGCAATACAAAATCACAAAGAGATATTACAGCAGACTGCATTACTTCCCTATCTATGAGACTACTTCAAAAAGTTCACGGAAATAGCAGTATTATCTCTTAATTCCATTTTCCATGAACTTTTTGAAGTACTCTCTACCCCCATTATACTGAAGTAATGACTTTGGAATTGAAGGAATTGAGCTCATGATAAGCTTGTTTACATAAATTTACTGAATACAGTGACATATGTTCTAACTCTTTTTACTTCATTTGTTAAATAAAAAAATTAGAGAACATTTTAAGGATTTTCTTTTCTATCAGGGCAACTTTCCTCACACTGAAAAATTGCAATATAGTTGTCCCCTCAAATAACCGTGCACCCAAATGCTACAGGAAGTATGAAGTTAACTTCTACTCCATTGTATGTACAATATAGGACAGAACACTGCAAAATTCCTGAGAAATATCCTTTTTACCATGTCTTCCACTCTCACATGATGACAATCAAGTCAGGATTCAGCTTTACTCAAATACTACAAGAAGAAATACAGAAGATGTGTAGTTCAGACTGTATCATTTTTAACTAAAGCTTGCTTAGGATTTGTGTACATGAAACTTCTGTTCTTAAAATCAACATTCTCAAGCTCTTTTATCATTTCATATGGATGCACAACCAAAATAGCTCACTGGAACTCTATTGAAATATGTTCTTCTATATTTTTCAAAAGTAACTTTCAACAGTTCAAAATAACATTTTATTTCAGATCTGATTTTGTTGTTTTTGTTTTGTTTTGTTTTGGCAGGGGGCATGGGGAGCAATGGCGGTTCTAGACTTTAGATTCCATGTCTCCCTCGGTATGGGCTCCGGGTGACCACTGACACACACACTTATCACTTAGGAACCAGTCTCACCTTCCATCGAGATCCATTCTTTAAAATTTGCTTATGTTTTGAAATATGTTAAGTAGTAAAGTTTTGGAGGGCCCTGAAGCAGAAGCAGGGCTCAGAAGAGAGGTCTAAAGTGGAGAAATCTTCAAAGCATATTTATAGGTACAAATTCTAAATATCATCCTAAGAATTCTGAGATGTATCTTACTTTTACTAAGCTAACATGAGGATATAGAAGCCTAAATAATTTTCCTGCACTTCTAGTGTAGGATATGTATATACACATACGCACAATAGCAAACTTACCGTGTGTGGATGAGTAAGTCCTTCTTAAGTGAATGAGTAATAATATGAATAAAATAGTGGAAGGCTTTAAAAAGTTGAGCAATCTTGCTCAAGCCTTTCAAAAGCAAATGACACAGCAACCTTTAATGATTGTTGTTCAATTTTATAGAATCACCACTAAAATAAACACAAAACTTTGAAGTATGCCTTAAAAATTATTTTCAACTGTCTTCACAATACATCTTTCAAAACACATAAATTCATACCAAATAAAACTCCTCTGCAAAATAGAAGTGAACATAAAACTGGACTCACCTGAGCACAAGCAGCTTCATCTTTACATTCATGAAATTTTATGGATGTTAACAAAGAATCACTTTTCTCACAGCTCTCTTGGCTGATGAGTGTGTCCGCATAGTTGGGCTGAGGAAAGATAACATGACTCTTCCCAGAGCCTGAGGTGAGGGAGACCTCCTGGGAATAGGTCTGTAGAAAAGCCTGTACCCTGTCAATGCCCACAAAGTGTGAGGCAGGCATGCCTGCCAATCCACCACCTGCAGCCTGCAGCAGGCGTGATGAGTGCCAGCGCCTCAGCCTGAGTGCCAGCAGCACAATGACAAAGGCCAGGAAGACACAGGAGACCACAGCCACCGCCACCACCAGGTAAAGAGTGAGGTCTGAATCATCTGGGACTGCAAGAGTCCTGATGTGGCCCAAGTCAGACAAAACGTCGGGGATACTGTCAGCCACTGCCACAGTGAGAGTGATGGTGGCTGAGAGAGGCGGCTGGCCATGATCCTGAACAGCTACTAGGAGGATCTGCTTGAGTGCATCTCTGTCCAGCAGGCCCCGCGCAGTGCGCACCTCACCTGTGTGCAGCCCAACTGCGAAGAGCCCAGGCTCACTGGCCTTGAGCAGATGGTAAGACAGCCAGGCATTTTGGCCAGAATCTCTGTCCACCGCCACCACCTTGGTCACCAGGTAGCCGGGCTCTGCGGAGCGGGGTGCCAGTTCCACGCCAGTGGAATCATGGGTAGGAATGATGGGGTACAGAATCTCAGGCACATTGTCGTTCTGGTCCAGCACATACAGGCTCAGTGACACATTGCTGCTGAGGGGAGGGTCCCCACTGTCACTGGCTATCACCAGTAACTTCAAGTCTTGGATCTGCTCATAGTCAAAAGATTGCAGTGCATACAGGACACCAGTGTCAGAGTTGATGGAGACGTAGAAGGACAGGGGGACCCCCTGGCTAGTGTCCTCAGTGACAGAGTAAGTGACCTGTGCATTTTTCTGGCCGTCGGGGTCATGTGCAGTTAATGACAAGATAGAGGCACCTCTCATGTTGTTCTCTGGGACATAGGCTGAGTAGGAGGCATGAGGGAAAGTGGGTGGGTTGTCATTGATGTCTGCCACGAGCAGAAGGATGTTAGTTTCAGTAGATAGAGGTGGAGTTCCCATATCTGAGGCCACCACTGTGATATTGTAGATAGAGACTTTTTCTCGGTCCAAGTATTCCCATGTCACCAATCTGTAATAATTTTCTACTGACTTTTCTAACTTAAAAGGTAAATTATCACTTGTGTAACAGACAACTTGACCATTCTTTCCAGAGTCTTGGTCATGCACATTCAAGAAGGCAATTACTGTCCCAGGAAGAGAATTTTCCAACACTGGGCTAAACAAAGATGTAATGATCACTTCCGGTTTATTGTCATTTACATCTTCCACTGAAATGAGCACTTTGGTCCTCCCTAGAAGTGCCCCCACATCTTCAGCCTGTATTTCCATTTCATAAAATGAACATTCTTCATAATCTAGACTTTTTGCTGTTGATATTTCCCCAGTATATTCATTAAGATGGAATACTGGAGACCGTTTTTCATTGATTTTCCAGAATTTATATGCCACTTTTCCATTGGCTCCCTCATCCAAGTCGCTAGCACTTACTGTAAGCAGTGGGGTGCCTGCGGGAACATTCTCTGGGACTTTCACTCGGTAAATCGATTGAGCAAAAATTGGGGCATTATCGTTTGTATCCAACACTATCACACGGATGTGCACTGTGCTGGAGCGACGCGGGTCGCCGCCATCGGACGCCGTGAGGACCAGGTTGTGAGCAGCCTCTTCCTCTCGGTCCAGGGCGCGCTCCAGCACCAGCTCTGGGTTTATAGTTCCATCGTCTCCAGTTTGCACGTCCAGGGAGAAATGGTGACTGGGGCTGAGCTGGTAGCTCTGGAGGGAGTTCACGCCCACATCGAGGTCTACAGCCTCTGGGAGTGGATAACGTGCTCCAGGAGCAGCGATTTCGTTAATCTTTACCTCGAGATTTTTGACCTGGAATTTTGGGTTATTATCGTTAATATCAGTTATTTCTATTTCTATCCCAAAGAGTTTTCCTCTATCCTCTACCAGGATGTTAATATTTACAAGACACCGCGCGCTTTGAGCACAGAGCTCCTCCCGGTCAATCCTGCCCGCGGTGACCAAGCTGCCGCTTCGCGAGTTCAGAGCAAAGAGCTGAGTCCTACCTCTAGAGATGATGCGGACTCCATGCTTCTCCAGCTCCCAGGGCTCCAGTCCCAGGTCCTTGGAGATATTACCCACGAAGAAGCCTTTGTCCGTCTCTTCTGGCACCGAATAGCGGATCTGACTGGCCCTGGCCTCCCACAGCGTTCCAAGCAGCGCGCACAGAAGGAGCAGCTCTCTCCATACTCGGTGATTCTTTGGAGGGACCATTGTTTTTCTGCTACAAAATCCTTTCAGAATCTTCACAGGGCATATGTGTCTTGTTTACCTTTTTGCTGCCGCTATGTAGATCATAATCTTACAGAAAGCTGGAGTGCTCCAAATTTAGGGACAGAATTTTCGCCGCAGCCCAGCAGTTGGTCTGTGGAATCTGCGGGTCTTTGTGCAGTGTGAGCCCTGAGTGTATCCGATGGCGTTTCGGTTGCATTTCCTCCCAGTAGGTGAACAGCGGCGCTTAGAGTCCTAAGCAGTTATTGCACTTAGATATACATTACTCAAATACGTAATACTCTGCTAGATTATTGAGGAAAAATAACCCCACTACTTGCTTCTTATTACTTTGGTTTGAATTTATTTAATTTGTCCCTAAATCCATATTGTAAAAGAAATTGTCAAGGACTGTGGGATGAAGTGAAGATTTAAGAAAGTATTATTAAATGATTAGATCTTGGGGTTATCATCATATTAAATGACTCACATTTCTGGAATACATTTGCTCTTGTAAAAATAAATATTACAATATAATTTCCCATTGAGCTTTAAGCTTTATTGTACCTGTCTTCAATTTATATTATCAAATAAGAACTCCAGTTGTTACTGGAAATGAATTCATTTTTAAGGCTCAAATAGACCTAATGGAGATGATGGACTCAGAAGTTGTTTTATTTGGTATAAACTGATTAATCATTATAGAAGCTTCCCATAGAGTTGTTGCTTTTATATTTTATCTCTAAATGCCATTTTAATTACACATTGATAATGTTTTAAAATTAGTATCATAAAATTTTAACAGGATGAATGCTTTCACAATTGCAGTTTTATTAGAGATTATATTGTTTTGCTATTTTATTTAAATTATATTTTTCTATTTGAACAGAAAATACGTGAAAGGCACAAGCGAATATACAACAAAAAGCAGATATTCGTCCTATGTCTTCCACCAAAGAAAGCTGATTACATTTTAAAGCAGACATAACTTTTTCAGGTAGTTATATATTATAAAGTTAATTTTACCTGCATAAATACTTTTGACACTTTGATAAAGAGAACCGCTGAAAGTAAGGAACACATAATTATCATTAAGAAGTCAAACAATAAGTATCACTACAAAAAAGTCTTTTTCTTTCAACAACTTAGAAAGTGGCCATTAACTGAAGCACTCGCTAAGGGATTCCTAGGAAAAGGCTGATACAATGGTCTTTTGTATGCACATCAGACAGGCGCTTTTGTCTAAAAACTTGAAGAATTTAAGATTCTTTCTCTCCTACAGACAGTAAAAATGATTAGAAGACCTCTACCCTTATTAGTTTAGGATTGCAAAAAAAGGCAGTTAAAATTAGATGTGTGAGAGAAAAAACAGAGGCAAAGCACTGTTTGTCTTTTTTTTTTTTTTAATGGAGGAGGCTATTGAATGAGCTTCAATACAGATTAATCTTCAAAAACCTAAGCTGAAGCAAAGACAACCTGCGTTTGATCTTCTGATGAGCATATGAATCTTCTGCTGAGTAAAATGATCACACACAGAGTACATTGCATGCAATTAGAAGAGGTCCATGGGCATAAAAACATAGTTTAAGATACCTTATTATAAAAGCTTTTGAAAGAAAAGTGAAGTAAATGTCAGAAACAAACAGCAAATTAGTACGAAAACCATACCAGTTAAATTAGTGAAGAAAAATATCTAATTTTATCTTAAATTCTTTTGCCATGTAGGTTTATTTAAATGACTATCTAGTTTGAGATTTATGGTATGTACAAGCCTATATTTAAATATATTTATTTATCATAATTAGGCAACAGAAATATTTATGAAAAATCTCATTAGCTTTTCAGGAGCGAGCCAATAACATTGACTAATGTTTTCATTTTGCAGGTAAACGACACCCTCATGGATGTGTAAATGTGGGCTTGGTAAGACACTCATATAAACCACAAAATTACTTCTACTTTGCCCCTCCATTGAAGAATGGCATGACAGTTTCTAAACTTATGAAAACGTTCTTAAGACAATTCATGAGATCAGAAAAGTGTATATTTCCTTGTGAGTATGGAGAACTGGGTAGACAATGAAAAGTACTTTATGCTTAAAGGAAACTCACCTGATGGGAGGTCAACTCACTGGAATTACAAAGTGGAAACATGGCCCCAGAAGCATCACCACAAAGTAGGTCTTGTCCTGAACTCAACTGCTCACTACATTGTAGGAAATTAAACTCCGTCTTTCCTGTTTGTGCAACGCACAGATTGTAGGAATAAGGTAAAGTCCCCTCGCTGTAGTTGGGGAGAACCACGGGTCCAGATTTCACACAGAGACCAGGCCGAAAGCAGCCCCAGGCGGCGGGGCTGGAGGAGTGTCTCAGGCGCAGGGCGATGGCCAGAATCACCGCGAGGAGGAAGAGCACGGAGATCAAGGCCAAGGCCACCACCAGGTAAAACTGCAGCTCCGCCTGGGGGTCAGAGGGCACAGGGAGGTCACTGAGCTCTGGCAGTACCTCCTGCAAGCTGTCCGCGAAGACCAGGTGCAGCGTGGCGGTGGCCGAGAGAGGTGGCTGTCCACCGTCGCGCACAGCGACCAGCAGGCGATGTCGGGCCGCGTCCCTGTCCCCCAAGGCACGCACCGTACGCACCTCGCCAGTGCGCAGTCCCAGGCTGAAGAGCCCGGGCTCGCTGGCCTGCAGCACGTGGTAGGACAGCCAGGCGTTGTGTCCCGAGTCTGCGTCCACTGCCACCACCTTGGTGACCAGGTAGCCGGGCTCCGCCGCGCGCGGCACCGTGTCGAAGAGCGCCGAGCCGTCGGGCCCCAGCGCCGGGTACAGCACCCGCGGCGCGTTGTCGTTGCGGTCGCCCACCAACACGCGCAGGCTCACGTTGGCGCTGAGCGCGGGCGAGCCCTGGTCGCGGGCCTGCAGCGTCAGCTCGAAGGCGCGCAGCTGCTCGTGGTCGAAGGCGCGCTGCGCGAACACCACCCCGCTCTGTGCGCTCACGGACACGTAGGACGACAGCACCCGCGGCTCCAGGTCACTGGCCACGATTGCGTAAGAGACGCTGCCGTTGGGACCCAAGTCCGGGTCGGAGGCACTGACTCGAGCGATGGAGGCTCCAGGCTGATTGTTTTCTGGCACATGGACCAGGTAGGCGGACTGTTGGAAAACTGGGGCGTTGTCGTTGACATCGGAGATGTGTAGGGTGATACTTATGCTGGAGGAGAGGGGCGGCTTGCCCCTGTCAGGTCGAAGGCGCGCTGCGCGAACACCACCCCGCTCTGTGCGCTCACGGACACGTAGGACGACAGCACCCGCGGCTCCAGGTCACTGGCCACGATTGCGTAGGAGACGTGGCCGTTGGGACCCAGGTCTGGGTCGGAAGCGCTCACTTGCGCTATGGAGGCTCCAGGCGGGTTGTTCTCGGCAACGTGGACCAAGTAGGACGCCTGGTGGAAAATCGGAGCGTTATCGTTTACATCACCAACGTGCAGAGTGACGCTTGAGCTGGAAGAGAGGGGAGGCTTGCCTAGGTCGGTGGCTGTGATGGTGACATTGTACTCCGGGTTCTGCTCGCGGTCTAGAACTCCATCTGTCACTAATTTATACGTGTTTCTTGAAGAAGTGAGTATTTTAAACGGAACATCACCTTCCAATTTACAAGTAACTTCTCCATTGTGTCCAGAATCTTTGTCCCGGATTTTGAACAAAGCAATGTGTGTTCCCAGTTCAATGTCCTCCATAATTAGGTCAGGTAGAGACTGGAATATCACTTCTGGGACGTTGTCATTTTCATCTAGGACTTCTATCTCCACTGTGCATTGTGCAATCATTCCTCCACCATCCCTTGCTTCTAAAACTATGGAATATTGTTTGATTTCTTCAAAATCTAACGAATTTAGAATGGTAATTTCCCCAGTATTAGAATTTAGGTCAAACTGGGGGATCTGGCTAGCTTCACTGAAAGAGAAGCTGATCTCAGCATTGATGCCCTCATCCTGGTCAGTGGCTGTTACCTGAAGCACGGTGGTGCCCGGGTACACGCTTTCCAGAAGGCTTACCCTGTATATGTCTTGGCTGAACACTGGAGGGTTATCATTGGCATCAGTCACTACGACCTGTATCTTTGCAATGCTGGTTAGGGGTGGATCGCCAAAGTCCAAAGCAGTCAAGGTCAAGTGGTAGGTTTTCTGTTTTTCTCGGTCTAAAGGTGTCTTCAATACCAGCTCAGGGTATTTACTGCCATCCGATTTCTCTTTATTCACGAGTGAGAAATGATCGTTGGGACTGAGCTGATAATTCTGTAGTGAGTTGGTACCAACATCTGCATCATGGGCAGATCCTAAGATAAATCGTGCCCCAGGCTTTGTGGACTCGCTTATTTGCAGTTCAAAGGAATTTTGGGTGAATTTTGGCGTGTGGTCATTAACGTCCTCTATCTCCACATTCACGTGATAGAAGTTCAGTGGATTTTCAGCAACAACCTCAAATTCCAGAGCACAAGCTGGATTCTTCCCGCATATCTGCTCCCTGTCTAGCCTGTCGCTCACGAGCAACTCCCCGCTCTCTGCGCTCACAGTGAAGTAAGGCTTCTCCGNGACCCAGGTCTGGGTCGGAAGCGCTCACTTGCGCTATGGAGACTCCAGGCGGATTGTTCTCAGCAACGTGGACCAAGTAGGACGCCTGGTCGAAAATCGGAGCGTTGTCATTGACGTCGCCAATGTGTAAGGTGACGCTTGTGCTGGAGGAGAGGGGAGGCTTGCCCCTATCAGTGGCTGTGATGATAACGTTGTACTCTGGGGTCTGCTCTCGATCTAGGGTCCTGTCTGTTACCAATTTATATGAATTTTTGGATGAAGCTACTATTTTAAAAGGGACTTCACCTTCTAACTGACAATTAACCTCCCCATTTTCCCCGGAATCTTGGTCATATATTTTGATCAATGCAATTAGTGTTTCCGGTACTGCGTTTTCCAAAATTACTTCAAGTAGAGAATGGAATGTAACTTCTGGGCTGTTGTCATTTTCGTCTTGAATGTTAATTTCAACTGTACATTGTGAAACCAGTCCTCCACCGTCCCTCCCTTCCACCACTATAGAATATTCCTTGAGTTCTTCGAAATCCAGTGTTCTTCTAGTTGTAATTTCCCCGCTCTTTGAATTCAGATCGAAGACTTGTCCTGTTCTGTAGAAGGAATAAGTAATTTCTGAATTGATGCCCTCGTCCCGGTCGGTGGCTGACACTTGCAGCACCGTGGTGCCTAGGGGCACGTTTTCATGAAGGCTGACTCTGTACACGTCCTGGCTGAATACAGGAGGGTTATCGTTGGCATCAGTGACTTGGATCCGGAGCTCAGTGGTGCCGCTTAGGGGTGGATCACCCCCGTCCAAGGCAGTCAGCACTAAACGGTGGTAACTTTGTTGTTCCCGGTCTAAGGTTGTCTTCAATGCCAGTTCCGGGTATTTACTGCCATCTTGTTTTTCCTTATTTATTAATGAGAAAGTAGGGCTAAGAGACAATTTATAATTCTGTAGGGCGTTTAAGCCAATATCTGCATCTTCCGCTACTTCTAATATAAATCNTACGTTGATACATCTATATATTTAATGCTCTTTAGAGTCGTACTCTTAGAAATGCCTCTATCCCAAATTTCCAGGTTTTTAGGGAAACCACGTAGATTTAACAGATAAACATCTATCTGTTGACATAGTCATTTCCCAATCTTCAAATATGCACCAGTCAGAGAAGACTATAACACAAACTTGGCCCAAACCATCGCAGAGTACAGTAATTTTGCATACTTATTCATTAACAATATAGTGGATACAATTAATACTACTTTCCTTGTTCCTAACCTTTTCCCCTCTTTTCTAGGGACATCCAAGTTGATTAATTTCAATTTGTTCCAGAGAGCATTAGTAATGCTGAACTCTGTCTTTTAAAAGGTGAAATTTATGCTTATTTCCAAACTCAACTATTTTTCCAAAATAGTTTCAGTGACTTCCTTATAGTAATATTATCTATTCTCGTTTTCTCTATCTCAGTAATATTCAGTTAAAGAAATAATGTAGCCTAGAAAAAGTTAGCCTATCCCTGTTCTTCCCATTGTACAATTATTTTCCTGCTTACAAAACACAACAAGACTCTTCAAAGTTAGCAGGGAAATAACATTTTGTCTTCCAACACAAAGTCACTAAGTTCTATTGCAGTGCCACACTGGTTTCTACCTCTGCTTTTATTTTAATCCCATGATGATCTCAAAATGAAAGGAAACACTCCCTGAAAAGTTTGCTGGCAATAGCTCACTGAGTTTTGTGATAATTTCTCCCCTTTGCTTAAAAAACATTTTGAAGCACCCAATGAATTTTGGTTGGGGGATTTTCTTTTTCAAAATACCTGATAATTGTATTTCTGTCAGAGATCCTTTCCTCATAAAGTGTCAGTAACATCATCTTCTCCGCCAAGTGATTGTACATCTGAACACTGCATAATGTGTGAAATAGTTCCACACCACATTACAGTCCATTATATGCAAACTACCACCACATACAACAATATGCTAGCAAAACACTGTCAT